TATATATATATATATAAAAATGTGTGTGTGTGTGTGTGTGTGTGTGTGTGTGTGTGTGTGTGTGTGTGTGTGTGTGTGTGTGTGTGCACATATAGATATGTGTGTGTGTGTGTGGGTGTGGGTGTGGGTGTGTGAAAATCTGAAAACGTGGCGCGTGTGACATGTAGGCCCAAAAATGAACTTGTGCAAAACCCGTTAAAAATGACATATGCTTTAAATCAAACCTTCATGCAATGTGCAATGATTATTTTAAGGCTGTTTAGTCAGCCTTTTATTCCGAGGAGATTGTTGAATATCATGGTCTACTCTATTGTTTCATATTGGTACGGTTGTGTCTTGCCATCAACCACTCAACACTCAAGTAGCAAATAATTTTAAAATTGATTATATTTACAATTGATAATTATAAGTAGAAAATTACCTCTGAATGGTGAACATACGGAAACAATGGTCGTCATCTACAGCCGTTAGTTTCGATGCACAATCGATACAATCAACTGATCAGCGTCTCCTTTGCATAAATACAAAATGTGCGCAGCTGAACTGCATGCCTTTCAAGCGTAAGAATTATTTACAAATTAGTGTGTGCAGCCAGTGTGAATAATGTATCCACCTATTTTAATGTATGGTCACTACCAATAAAACAATGCTCGACGTGTAAAGTCCGCATTCGTCACGGAATAAACAAGAGGTTTTTTTTTAATTACTTAATATTTTAGAGAGAAACAATTGAATTTTCGGTTGTAGTTTTAAAAGTTGTTTCAGCGGAATTCTAAGGTGTAGTACAGTTGTAAATCATTGGAGGTACCTGGAGGACACAAAATGAAATGGCCGTAACAGATTTTTTATTTCTGCTGACGTATTGCCACAGCATGGAACTCAATTAAACAGTATTATGTTGTAATTTATTTTTCTCCGTTTTGTTGGTTAGAATAGCTTTTGAAAGTGATGCATTCTAAGGTTATAAAGGGCTCTTAATCAAATGGGGACGTCGGCCACGAACAGGAAGTAGTCGCCGCTCAAAACACATTCACACGAAAAACAAGAGCACAAATCTCAGTATGAGTGTTCATTTTATCTCTGCATTGTATATGCATTATTGTAAACAGTCAAATCTAGTGATTGATTTTAGAGGGAAAAAAATATTGCCTCTCGACCTGGGTCATCGGGCGGAGCATGTTTTTGGAGAACTACCCATATAAATACATTTAATAATGCTAACCTTGTCGAAAGTATGATGTCATCATCTGTCTTGGTTGATGGTGTATTATGGACATGACACTCTCAATGTGTGGTCAGACTTTGTGTTGTATGGGGCCTGTTTGTACAAATGCTTCTCAGAATGTGCTTTATTATTCCTGCCCTGCATAGTGCATGTGGGTGTAGTGCGTCTAGGGACCAGGGTATGAGCAACTGGCTATCTACAAGGCATGATGTATCACAGCTTCTCATTAGCGAGGCAATGAAAGCCCCCCC